GTCTCCTGCCCTCGCTCTTCATCCCAGGAAAAGAGCGAGGGGGAGGGGTGCGTTGTGGTTCTTCTCCAGAGGTTTTCTAAAAGCGAGGTGTACAACTCATTTGCTCGAAGCAAGCTTAGGACTAAGCCTAGGCCCAATCATAGGCTTAGCATAAGCCAATGTGTAAGCATAAGCCTAAGCCTAAGCCTAACCCAAGCTTAACCTTAGGCTTCAATGATCGCGCAGTTCTGGTGACCTGACCCCAGGAGGAGAACTGAACGTCTTCCCTTTTCCTGTGCTCGTCCCCTCATAACTACTAACTATTACCTATCCAATTTCATCTTTATCTTTATTGATTTGATCGCTTATATTTATTTATTAAGACTAGTGGAATCCAGTATTTACATAACAATTGCAACAGTGAAATTTACATGAAAGTTTGAAAATCCCCCTAATGACCTTCTCCCAGCCTCTTCACAAATATAGTACCAATCCACTCCAATAGGCCCCCACTCACACCTCTTTCCTCCATGAAACAACTGTTGCCATCGTTGGTCCTTGCTCAACGAATGCTTGATTCTTCCTGTTCCTCAATTATACCCTTCCACTTGCCGCAAAATTTCATGCCCTCAAAGAACTTGGCCTTAGTTCTTATCTAGATGGGTGTGTTGATGTGTACGCAACCAAACAATAACTGATGTTCGATCATCTCACGTCACCTCAGACATGCAAATATTATTGATCGGTCCGAAAGGCGGCGCATAACGCAAAAAAATGAGCCAGACATTAAACACCGAACACTAACCTTCGATCGTTGTGACATACGTAGCTTCTGCGATGGATCGGCCCATATTTTGAACGGAATAAACACAATCAAATCATAGACAAAGAATAATATCTGAAAAAATAAGTAAATAATTTTTGATCTATACCAGCTGCTAGTTTCATCTACAAACCTCTTACGACCCCATCCGCGTAACTGCCAGGGTGAGCAAAGGGCATGAATTTTTCAAGGTGGACTCGTATTTGGTGAGGGAGGGGTATGGTTTGAAGGAAATAGCAGGATTTCATCCTGGTGTGAGGATTTTTCAGAAGTTTTTGAAAATTTTCATGAAATTTGTAAGATTTTGGAAACTTTCTCCACTCTGCGTTTCAACAATGTTTCAGTGATTTTGAAGTGAAGGTAGGATCGAAACAGTCATGCCTGGTGGGAGGGATGGGGGGGGGGGAACGGTTAACCAAATCCTCCGCGTGGCTTACCCTGGCAGCACCTTCGAAGTGGTTGCTCAACTTCCACATTCGTGGAAAATCCCTTATTTTAGTCTCCTATCAAATATGAGATTCCGCTCGCTCTTTTTTCAAGCTAAGGGCAGTAGTATTTCTTCCACCGTGAGGTAGAAAGAACTTTTTGATACAGCCTGCAACAAATTTAGGGACGAGAGCACCGAGCACCAGTTGTCAGCCACGCTTTTGACAAAGTGAGAAACACAAAGAGTGAGCAAAACTTTTTTTCTCAAGCACATATAGTGCCAAGTTGGTAAATAGTAATTCCAATGTGAAGGCGATCGAAAAAAAAATGTAAATTCTGAAGCTCGGGGGTATGAACGTTCAGAATTCGTTCCGAATCGTGTTACGCCTTCCCAATTACACCATTACTTCCTGGTTTGGAGCGGTTTTTTTTCCTTTCATTTCTTCCACTACTTTTGGCTGGGAAGCCCC